GAGAATTAGATTTGGCCCTGAAATGGCAGAATGGCACGACCAGGAACAAGAAAAGGTCACAGGAATGTAGACGTATAAATACTTGCACTCCGTTTAGCTTTACATTTACACCCAGAATCATGTTTCAGTACACAATCTAGTATCAATAGACTCATATTCTATCATACCAAGCAAAGGTTCATGAATACGAAGACAAAGTGATGAATGAGACACATGCTGCCGTCAGTGCAATGCTAATTAATGCAGGTTACCTTCAACCGTAGGTAGTTATGAGTGTTCTCCACAATACAGCAGTTGCCATGGTGAAATGAGGCGAGGCATCCCCTCAGAGGGCTTCTGTGAGTATTTATTGCCGGTTCAGCACCCAACACCGTCAGTCCATGAGAAAGACCCAAAACATTCGCGCTGTGGGCCTCGAAGGACTCTAGATGTCCATCAGGTGGAAGACGCGCTGACGATACAATCGCAGATCGGTTGAATGCTGTGGAAGGCACATGAGGATGAGGATCGGCTAAAGGATGGAGCCAAAGAAAGTGAACATGGGTTTTTGTTCTGATTCTTTGGGTGGAAGGCAATTGGCAGAACTATTTTAAAATAAATATACTTAATGGTCATTTCCCTTTGAAAAACAAGCAAACATCTCCTGCATCTCCTGGCGTGTGCGTGTGCTCACCACAATGTGCATACAGAACGTGTGTGCGTGTTAAAGGCCGTTGATGCCTTCAGTGAACCCATGTGAAATAAGCTATCTCGTCCAGGTCCACGGGGTAGTCAGTGAGGTACGTGGGGCCTTTGTCGTAATGTTCCCCTTTGTAGCTCCTCCAGCGCCCTGCGGGCAGGTAGATGTCCCTCTCCTGCTTCCCTGACTCCAACACCGGCACCACCATCAGGTCGTCACCGATCAGGAACTGGGAATCGATCTTGTACGCTGCATCGTCGTTGTTGGCGATCCACCAGAGGGGCCTGATGATCGGGTCCCCGGTGTCCAGGACCTTGCCTGCCAGTTCGAGAACCTTCGGGGCCACCAGAGTCTCATGGAGCCCTGCGAACTTCGGCGCTATCTGCACCACCTGCAGGTCAACGCACAAAGGTGAGGGGTCAATTAGGTATATACACGTAATATAAATCAAACATTATTAGTTGTCTATTTTTATACACACACACGTATATTAACTAATGATCACATTCATGGACAGGAGATTACAGAACAGGGAAAAAAAGATTACAAATGTGTTCCCCGTTACACGTACAATGTCAGGTGCAGATGTAACCATGGTTCTATGCCCCAAGCAGAGTTAAAGCACTGCCTCCGGGTTCAGTTAGGATGAAACGTGTCACTTTGCTCACCTCGCTGTCATAGGCCCATGGCGGTATGGAGAACTGCATGGCGGGCATGAAAGCAGACAGCTCCAACCATCGGATGTACAGCTCTCTGTCCGGCAGAACACTTTTGCCATCTAAACCAACTGAACACACAACGCAGATGTCAGACCGTAGACTAAAACCACATCAACGTGCGTCTTTAAGGGAGCCAACATTAAACATACCTGCGGTGCGGTTGGGGTACGCGTTCCCTCCTATCATATCAGGTAACACAAACTGGTAACCCAGAATGCTAATGGTGAGAACCGTCGGGATGATGGACTTGAGGCCGAGCTCGTAGCCCCACACGGAGTCCCGGTCTATGATCCTCCGATATCCTGACTCTGGTAACCCACCGGGACACCGAACCCACCGTTAGGCTCTTTGTTGCGCTCCAGGAGCTCGGCCTTCAGCATGTAAGAATACGTGTTCAAGATTTGGAGCCTGGTCGGGGTTATCAAAAATTCAGCCGAATGACTTCTCTCGTTCTGGGAAATTTATTTGTCAGATCATAGGTCAAGTATCAGCGCTGCGTTTGCAAAGGCAGGAGCAGTTCAGGCAGCACACAGGCCGTAAGAACAACTCACTAACATCAGCAAGAACATCATATTTTATAACCCTTGAAAGACAGAGAAGGAAAGATTTCTATTGGCCCTAAACTGGCGTAGAGGAGGACCTTCCACCTCCCGCATCTAAGATCCGGTCACATCCAATGTCCAGACTCCTGACTTAACGTAAACATCAGCGAACAGAGTGTGTATGTTGAATAGTGTTGGTGTGTCTCTAACCCCCCTTTGGCTGGTAAATCTTCTAGTTGACCCGCAGACCTTGCATTCCTCAGTCAGGACATAAACTGACTCCCCATCCTGTCAGACTCGTGTCTGCCTGCTCCTTACCTAACTCTTAAATCAAGACAAGACAGCGAACCCCCAACTAAGCCCTTGAAAAAAAACCACACCAACACACAGCCCAGCATGCCCGCCGCCACCAGTCACACTTCCCCCAGGTGTCCACAAGATGCAGACAAAGTCAAACTCAGGCGTCCAGCTGTCAAAGTAACGGGTGGAGATTTGGAGGAGTCGTCCTCTGTCAGGGTGGAGCAGCAGACTTCTCTACTCTCTGCTTCACGGTACCTTTTCATGGCGATGTGGTCACAGTTCTGACTCTCTCTCAACACTTTAGGATTCCTGTACTTTGCTGTCACCAAAGTTAGAAATGCAAAGAAATGATGTTCTCTATTAAATGAATGATCGGATTAAAGCCATTGATTTAGTACAATAATAAAAGGTTGGACATTCTTTAAAAGGTGAAGAGATTTCACAGTTTAATTTGTTGACACACTAATACTGGTACACACAATGTACACTATCTGCAACTCATTAAAGAAAAGACTGAAACCAATCTGCTGCAATAGAAACACAGATCCTGCTTTTCTCAATCACTGATTGCAGTTTTTACCCACACACTTTATTTAAATTTTTTAGCAAAATAGCAAATAGGCAAATATTAATTAACAGTAATATATAACATGCATATATTACTGTGCAACACTTGCTTGCACTTACACTCCTAAATGACTTAACGTTACCTCAAACCGGCGCTCACAGGTGTGACGTCAGGCCGAGAGGATCCTTCGAAAACACAGCGTTACTGCGATAGAGAACACAGAAAGATGGCGGCCTGAATCTCCCTGCACTGGGAACGTGGGGACTGCGTGACTAACGTTACCTTACTGAACTCGACAGCGTGCGTAAAACCCATAAACACACTCTAGCATAAAGTAACGACAGGTTTTAGCACTCTTCAGTTTCTTTCACTGACCATTGAAGCCACATGGTCCAACCCAACTGCTTTTGAGAGAATGTCAGGTTAAAGTTACTTAAACATTACAAAACGACATGCAGGGATATATTAATAGAACTCATATTCATATTCTTTATCTAACTTTGCAAACCTTTGGAAGCAAGAATGTTTGTTCCTGCGAAACTATGTTAAAACACAAAAACCGTCTATGCTCCTCTTTGTTTTGTTCTATGTCATATTCAAATGTTACACAAAGTGGGTTTGACTTGTAAAACAAATAGCTAAAACATTTCTAAAACAAATATTTAAGATCTTATGGACGAACTAAAATCAAATGTTTGACCAACTATGCGCCTTTCACTTGGTATGTTACATCATCTGTAGTGTACCATTTACATGATAGTTTGTTAACTTTTGTAAGGTCTGCTGTCAGTGATACGTATAAAGAATTAACCACTGAACTCAAGGCGGAGGAAGTCAAATTCTGTGTCTGCTTCAGGTAAGTTTCATTCACTGCGCATGACTGAAGTTCACAGCGAGGCTGTAGAACTCTCAGTGATCAGAGTGCCTTCTGGCCATGAACATTTACAGGAAACAACAGTTAAACAAAGGGCAGGTTTTGGTCAAAGCTTCTCAGGAAGAACAGAGGACCTTGACATGATGAGCATGTGTACTCTTTGGGGGTTCAGCAGTGGGTTTCCATACAGGCCTCTAACACAAGGTAAAATCAGATCTGTCTGGGTTCTCTTCACACAACACCAAGAGTTTTCACTAATAGGTTTGTTTATCAAAGTACATTATTTCCCGTATTTCCCGAGACAGAGGTTAC